CCTCAGTGTAAGGCAAATAATATGTCGGCCGTAGCGTATAACAAAGACATTGCACCTGCGGAGGAGCACAGTCTGCCAATTAACTATATAACTCGGATGAATGCTTCAGATAATATTAAGAAATTTCCCCACTACCCCACTATTTTGGACTTTGGGCATCATTGTGTGCTTGTATAATTTTCTACTTCATAAGCCGTGAAGCCCCATCTGCTAGCTAGTTGTCTTAACCTGGACTTACCAAGGGTCAGTAGGGAGAGACCGCCCCTGAGATCTTTCATTAAAACAGACATGAAAAGCCATTTAGCCAAAGTAAGCGGCTTGAAAGGTGATCCAACTGCATGAATAATTCGGTCCTGTGAAACAACGATTACATCAAAGGGGTTTCTCAATTTGGGTCTTAATTAATTCATCACTCAGAACAGGCTCGTGCAGGTTAATGGCTTCTTTAAGGTCGTCGGTTCCGCCTACGTCCACATGCGGAAGTTTTTGGACGAGGGAACATAAAGGATAGACAATACATCGAAAGACCAATTCGGTACATCTGCCTCCAGACAGGGGTGATCATTAGAGGATGTGCGATATGAACTGTCGTGAATCAAGTAAAATTGTTTTTGTTGCAGATAATGAAGTACGAACGACCACAAGAAATTCCCATAGCTAGTCGAATGTAAAGTTAAAACATAAGTTGCATGTCAGAATGGGTTGTTGACAAAAGCGCGGGTTGACACAGCCCTGATTAGCAGAGTTAAGTAGATTCTTTCATGTGTTTCATAATAAATCAATGCAATCGCTTGGATGACTGAGGCGAAAGCTTAGGATTTACGCCATATGTTTTTACTATGAAGTAGGCGTAAAAATACTCCATAAGTGTCGTAAAATCTACTCGAAAAACCTCACTTCAGGCCATCAAATATCATGTGGCTTTTCTTACTCGTGTCTTTTTTAAACATTTATATCACAGCATGTGGTTAACTGCAGTCGCAGCTATAGCCAGACGCCGGAGAAACTGGAAAGACCGGCTTAGGAAGCTGATTAGATCGTCATTTTGAATAAAATTGCACTATCGCCGCGTGAAGACCACTTCTGACCTTGAGACGGACATGTATTCCAAAGATATTACTGCTGCCCGAGGCGCACTTGAAGTTACAATACATTCAATTGCGAAATTCTCGGTAATCGTGTCGTGCAGAACGCGTTGTCTTAGGCCTCAGTTTTAGGGCCATCCGGATCACCGCAGTAGTAAACATCCAGGGCACATATATCAGTCTTGCAGGCGCGAAGGTGTCACACCTGAGAGTATGCTCAAATAAGAGCCAAAAAAATTGGTTGAAAACCCGTACGTGAACAAATAGTATTTTTATAAATATGCTGAAGTAACTGCAAACAGTGTGACAGAGACCCAAGGCTG